ATTCCCTGCTATTGTGTATTCTGCGATTTACAAGCTTCCCAATAGTATCTTTCCTAAGGGTCTACAAGGATACAGGGATTAAATAGGCTCTGTAATGGGTGAAAGGAGAAGTAGCAACTGAAGGCTTTGCTGGAGGGCGGAAGGTGCACCATGAGCATCGGTTGTGAACACAGCGGGATGCCAAGGCCAAATGATGCTGCTGGTGGTGGCCACATCCCTGGGGCAGAGTGTGGGGATGCCATCCGAGGGCTCCTTCTGGCAGAGACGTTAGGACCAGTGGTGGGTGCAAGGCCTACGTGCTCCAGGGGACATGGGTGCTCCCCCTGTGCCACCAAAGCCCCGGCGGTTGGGTTTGAAGTCATCGGATTAATCCAGGATCTAGGCTGTGTTTGTTCACCGCGTATGATCATTATCTTTGTTTCTCTTCAAATATTGTTCCTGCTTTAGAGGGTAATGAACTAAAGGCAAATATCTCACCTTTTCCCTCTTGAAATTTCATTAAGCTGCGTATTTACCTTGGGTGACAAGATGCAGGCCCTGGAGTGAAAGGTTTTCCGGCCACACCTTCAGTCACTATCTTATTCTACCACAGTTGTCCACAAAGGGAATAAACCCAGTTGTATTTATCCATAAGATTTAATTCCTTTTAAGAGACAAGGGATCCCTTTGTACAACAGGTAAGTGTTTTCCGCCAGGCTCTGCAGGTGTAAATCGCTTGTGGAGTATTGAGTGGCCAAGCCCTGGCTGTGAATGGCTGTGGAGGAAGCGAATGTAATTCCGAGCCCAAATACAGCCAGATTTTGGCCATGAGGCTTTTGGTCCTGGAATTAAGCAGCTCCCCTACCCCTAGTCTACAATACACATCCCCAGTGCAGCATCCTCACCTTTGCTTTGCTTACTGCCTGTGAGCAGCGTGGTGGGAGAAGGAAAGCCAGGCTTTCCCCCTGTTTGCTTTTCACCTGCCGTGATTTACACACCAAAACCCGGTTTGTTATCGCCTGGAACAAACTAAACCCTCCCAAAACTGCTCAGAGCTGCAGGTCTGCACCAGCCAGCACAGCCCTGACACGAGCACGGCTCAATGAGGACGTCAAGCACCTTCATTTCTAAATTCCTATTGCTTTATTTGCTTTAAAGCTTTGCCCCCTGTGGTGGTTTTAGCAAGTGGGTTTTAGCATGATCAGTGCCCCAGGGCTGCTTTGCAAAGGAGATGCAGAATCTCCTGGTGAAAGAGAGTGTGGTAGATAAATACTGCAGTAATTCCTCCTTTCAGCACCGCAAATAGAGGATGAGGAGGGTTGATGTGCCATCAACACCCAGCAAAACGCTTCTCGGCGCAGAGGGGTGAAGTACTGGTCATCTGATAACGATGCCCGAGGTTGCTGGGGTTGGGAACCCTGCAGAGAGCAAAGAGTGGCCCCGTCTCTTGCTGGGCACAAAATTGGGGTGAATTTAAGCAGATTTTGGTGTCACGATTCGGATTTTGGTCCCTCTTCTGAAGCCTGCGAGCTCCAGACCCTCGATTAGATGATGTCTCGGTACTTAGCTCGCTGCCTCGTGCCCAGGCATGAGGCTGCCTTGTGGTGCCTCAGATGCTCCAGGATTTTTGCCCTAAAATTCTTCATTTACCTATTAGTTGGCATGAAAACCCCCGTGTTCCACTGCCTGTGCTGACGGGGACCTGGCTGTGCCTTTGGGATGCAGTCCTGGGGCTAGGAATGTTTGGTTTAGCATTGACCATCTCCGTCTCCTTGTTTCATTCAGCTGAGTGGCTGGCTCTTGAGTTGAGACGGGTGAAGAGCTGAATCATCCCAGCTTTGGTACCTCTTCATGTCCCCTAATACATCACGTTTCTGGGAACTAAACCCCTGTGGAGGTTTTGTATGGAGGCTTCAGGAGCAGTGCAGGATTGGTGCCCACTTGGAGGTTATCTCTATTCCCTCTTTTTAAAGGGCTGAAGGATAAAACCTCTAATGGAGAAGTCTTGTTCTAGGGGGAAATGCTGATGCAGGCAGCTGCTTGCTGGGGGAGCAGCGTGGGTATCCACACCAGAACACTGGTATGTGGGGAAACCTCTGTTTCCTCATGGAAACTCGCCTGGGAGCTGAGCCATCTGCATTGCTCTGCCTTGTACGTGACCATCCTTTGCAGCATGCAGACCCCATAGGCACTGGCAGAGCTCCTGGCTGCTGCAGCACCCGGAGTCTAGAAGAAGGATTAATATTATCTATTTATTATTATCTTTATCTATTTAGTATTATCTATATCTATTAATATTATCTACTATCTATTATAATTATCTAGGTATAAAGGGGTCCCACGTTCTGCTTGCTCCAGACCCAGCTTGGGGGGAGGGGAGAACATCTGCACATGCTTGAGGGCAACATCTGCCCTTTGGAGGGGCTTTGCTGTGGTCCCAACCGATGGCTCCAAAATGAGTAACTCCTTCTGTAGCGCTCAC